TTAAAAGTGAGGAAACTTCAGCATTTTTGTCCTCAAATGAACCGTGCGAAATGATTCCAATTTGAATGAGTACTCCACCACAAATCCATGCACCTCTCTGGCCACCACTTTTAGTCAATACAGAGGAAATTTTGAACACATTTGAAAGTGTACCTTCTCGTCATCAGCGTGTTGGACATCCTGAACGCCGCACTCTGCAGCATCCTGTCCCGGCTCTCCTTCCTCATACGTGGACTGCGTGTCCCCCATTTCTCACACAGCCAGACGCCTCAACTTTCCCATCAAAAAACAACAAAATCCCTGAGACGAGCGGAGCAGCGGTGGCAAATGATGCAAGCTGGACGTGCCAAAGTCTTTTTGGCCCCAGCAGGGGGAGGGAGGGATTGGGCAGGAAGAGGAGCAAGTGTGCTGCGGGGTCACATGAAGCAGTGAGCTGTCACGCTGCTCTTTGCTGTCGTGATGTTTTCAGAAAATAGCGGTGGTCAAATGCACGATTATTAGCAACGCTAACATGGGCCTGATTGGATTTGAGCATCCCAAAAAAAAAAAAAAGCCACTGATGATGACTTATGATTTGTTTTTGTTTTGTGTCAATGAGTCAGTTAGCTGCTTCAAGATCCACTGGTGGCTCATTTCTGGTCATCACAAAAGACGTGAGGACATTTCCTACACAGAAAAAAAAAAAAAACATGATTATTTGACGAGTTTCACATTCCTCCATCAATTTCAAACTGTTTCAATTTCGACATATTCGCATCAGTCAGGACATCCTGGGTGACAGTTTTCCACTTTTTGAAATTTCACAGGAATTCTACATTTTGCACCCCCACACCCCAAAAATAACATCTTAGAGACTATTTTCCACATTCCAGTAATTCCTACGTTTCCAAAAATGTGCAATTGTCCCAATAAAATTCCTGAATTCAGAGATTTGTGCACATTTCCCTACTCTTTCCACTGTTCTTGACCGATTCCAAACCATGCCAACAACTTCAAACAGCTCATTCAGCCGATCTTGTGGCATTTTTTTTAATCCCTTTCTGCACATTTCCAAATTTCACCAATAAAATTGCCAAATGAAGAGATTTCACACACTTAACTCCTCCTTCCACATTTCCTGACCGATTCAAGCCATTCTAACTTCAAACGAAACCATTTTTCCTCCATGGCAGTAACTTCCACAACGCAAGTCCAAAATAACCTCATTATTACTCCGCTATTGGTGAAATCGCTGTCACCTGATTTTTGGAGACCATGTTGTCGAAACGGGGGCTCGGTAAGTTTTTGCCCTTTTGTAAAGTGGACATCTGGCAATTTCTATTAAAATAAAACGTATTATCAGTCCATTTAAACCGATGAAGAATTTGTTTATCTTGTGTCAGGAATGATGTTAGTTGAAAAGGAGCGTGCGATTGCCGACGCATGCCCCGCCCCTTTCTGACAAGATTGATTTGCAAACCGTGTTCAACCCTATTTTATATTCAGTGCATATCAAAAGTCTACACACCCGTGTACAAATGCCATTTTTTTCTGAGATTAAAAAAAATAATGAGACCAGGATCGGTCATCTCAAAACTTTGTGCACTCTTAATGTCATCGATAACCTGTGCAGCGAAAAAAAAAAAAAAAAAAAAAAAAAAAAGCATCTTTTTAAGAGGGGGAGTCAAAATAACCCAGATGATATGATGTGGTAGCATAAGTGTGCACACCCTCTCATAACTCAACTGTATTTACAGAGCGCTTTGAAACAACCACCGCTGTATACAAAGTGCTGCACATGGAGCAAAAATAATTCATTAAATCATAATTCAAAAGCGTGTACAAATTTGAGGAAAACTTGAGCTCAGTAGTCCATTTTGGAATGCGACCGTAACAACAGAATGTGGAATTACGTCCATTTAGATGTCATTTAAGTGTACAAATGCACTTTATCGTGTTGATTTTAAGGTTCGTCTTCCAGAAACAACCGCAACATCTGTGCTTGCAATCCTCATTTCACATCACGGCACCAGTCTTGTTTTTCATATTTCCTACGTCCGGCCGATGACATGTGACGCGGGTGGAGAACGCCGCCGCGCCACAGTTACACGCTCGTGCAACCGTGTTTGTCTCGATCTCACCTGATCGTTTTTAATCGCATTAGTTGTGTTTTTGCTGCAATCAGGCCTGATCGCGCCAGTCAGTTGACTTGCATCAGGGTCGGACACGAAGCCAAGTTTTGGTGGCCCTGTCGGAACCGGTGCTGGATACAGTACGTTAAGATTTAGTGATTATTTCTGTGTGTTTTGATGCACTGAAATCATGACAATTTCATCTCAGTTGACTGAAACGTATTCGTTCAGATGGAAATTTGGGACTGTGCTGCTGAACAATAAACTGTGCTTGGGTGGAATGAAGGGCAACAGGTGGACACACAGGTTGGTTGCAAATTAAAAGCATTTCATTGTTCTGTCTGTCACAGCAACATCGCTGGCTTCGATGCCGTTTGACAATCACTGTACTGTGTGCAGGCCTTCTTTCTTATGTAGTCTGACAACTTGAAACGCATGGTCCAAATTAAAAAAGCTCACACTCTGTGTGTCCAAGTGGGACTTTTTTTTTTTTTTAATTACCTCGTTGCCGACCCCATGGCCAAGATCTCTTCAAAGGTGCCCGACGCTTCACAGCTTGGGAAAATGCAACCCGTGACTTTAGGTTCCCAGTGGCCGTAACATGATTTGCAAGCAGAATACAGACCTTTTAAAAAGAAGAGGTGTGTGTGTGTGTGTGTGTGTGTGTGTGTGTGTGTGTGTGTGTGTGTGTGTGTGTGTGTTTAAGCTTTAATTGGAGTCACTGCACAGCTAACTAGAAGCAGCTGATGTTTGCTCCGCCGATTACTGTAAAGTTATGTGATCACATGGAAGGCCGTTGGAGGACTGCGGTTGGGGGGGGGGGGGGGGGGGAAATTGGGGTTCTTGCTATATTTGACAATCATTAATGAGCAATGATACATCATGTAGACAGCATACAAAGGTGTGTTTGGGTCAGGGTTTCAAATTAAAGTTCCCAGACAGACTTGAGATTTCAAATAAGGGTGCGGTTTTTCAATTGAAGCTTTCAAGACGATGTTTCCAATTTAGGTTGTAAAGCCGAGGTGAGGGTTTCTGACTGTGGATTTGAAGTTCGGCCCGTGTCCACATGTCACACTTCTTATTTTGTGGACTCATTTCTTGTTGTTGACTGCTCTTCTTTTCGGACTGAGCAAGTCTTCTATTTGCATGGACAGCTCGTAAAAAAAAAAAAAAAAAAAAGACTTATTACGTATTTGATTTTTTCCAGAAGATTACTGAGGCATACCTCGTTCCCACACGGAACATACAATATTGAGTTAGCGTCAGGACATGTTACTTATTTGCACTCTGGCCACTAGCTACTCTGTAAGCAAATGTTGCGCGGCTTCGCCTTTGACGAGCGGACGTCATAGCTAGCAATATGTCTTGGGCGGTATGTCAAACTCATTTAAAACTGCATTTCAAAAATGAAACGTACTGTAGATGTATTTTAAGAGGCTGTTTTTAAACAAACAAGTAAAAAACGTTACAACTTCAACAACAGGAAGATGCAGGTGCCGGGCTCACAACAGTTGAGAACCACTGACTTTGAATGTCGTTAGCATTAGCATTATTCTTTAGCATGTTTGCTGTTTGAATCCATCAAAACGTGAGGTGATTCGTATTATCATTAGTATCATAATTATTATTATTTTTATTGTTGTTATTGGGTTTCGTGTATGGTTTCAGACCTGAAGTATGGTTTGAAATTTGTGTTTGAAATCAAGGTTAGGGTTTCAAATGATAGTTCATGACACGTTCGGGTTTCGTGTTTCTGGCTCGACTTGAATTTGTTGTTTGTTGTTTTTTATATGTTTTCTGGAACTTTTTTCCAGAAGTCCCCGGGATGTGCATGCGTGTGTATGTCACATGGAAGACCCAAACGAGTGGACATTAAATTGATGCAAAATTGAATCAAGTGACACCACACTTTACAAGCTGCGAAAATGGAAGCGATAACAAACAACATTAAATGACATTCCATGCCGACATAAGTCAGTCAGGCAAATATTTGTAGTCAAACCAGGACGATGACTTTGCGAATATTCAACATCAACGTGAATCAAATTAAGGTTACAAGATAGGTCTAAAGTTTCAAATTAGGGTTTCAAATTGAGTTTAAGGTTTCAAATCAGCCTGTCAAGTCATGGTTTCAAGTTTGTGTTTTTTATGGTTTTGAATTTATTTTTGAAGTGTCGATCTGGATTTGAAAGTTCGGGTAAACAAGTCATAGTTTTCTGATGCTTACTCCTCATTATAACGTTCATTAGCTTAATCTTGGTGTCACCTACATTCAATACCCCCCTTTCTAACGATAGCTCAGTTTTTTTATTTTGCATTGGTGTATATTTGTTTTGGGTTTTTTTTATATGTCAAAGGTCAGTATTGTAGTGCATTAACAAGTTAATGGGGTAAAAACATACAACAAAACCAAAAGTTACATAAAATCTACTGTAGTTTAAATGAGTTACTGGTTATAGCGCTACGACGACATCGTGGCAGCAACAATTAATCCAAAATTCCGAATAACCGTGAAAACATCAAATATTGACCGAAGGAAAAAAGTGATGAGAAGGCAAAGACCGTCCACAAGGTGGAAGCAACAAACTTGGACGGCACCGAAAGAATATGGCGGAAGCGGAAATATGCACTGTATGCTAATATGACGATACGAAGTCAAACAAATCGATCGAATAAGTTATTTCCGGTAATGTAGTTCAGAGTACATGTGATATATTTGTTACCTTTTACTGATATAAAACTAAAAGACGAATTGAACATAACAGTTTTCATTTTATTATATCCATGTGTTAAGTCTCCTAGTATTCATTTTCCAACATGGTATGGTGTGATTCCGCACTTGCGTAGGTTTATTTTGAAAGCATCACCGGTACTTGTCTGGTTAAGCACTTTCCCGCTTTGTTAGCTCCTACCCGCGGCGGTTCGGCTCCGACAGCGTCTGACAACAAGCGTCGTTTGTCAGCTTCTCGCGCCCTCCCCACCTCCTCTCCCGTGCCACCATGGCCCCACGGCGGTGCTGAGGCGGCCCCGCGTTCACGCTCGGCCGGTGGACCGCGCTCATCCGACTCTCGGATATCTCGCCAGAGGCCACAATGAGCTCGGAAGACGCCGACGAGCCGCGGGACAGGCCCGACAGCAGCAGCAGCAGCAGCAGTCGTAGCAGCAGCAGCAGTGGTGGCGGCGGCGGCGGCGGCGACGACTCCGACAAAGAACCCGACATGGACGGCTCGGACCACGACGGAGACCTCGCCCGGAGCTGCCCTCCTTCCCCGCCCGCAACGAGCGCGACTTCGGAAGAGCGTCAAGAACCAGCCGCCGCTCCTCGACCGGCAGGTGGCGGCGGCGGCGGCGGCGGCAGCGGAGGTTCGGGCTGCGACACTGGTCGGCCCACAAGTCTGTTCTCCTGGCTTCAGACCAGGTCCATCAGGCGGGGCGTGTTTGTGGATCCCGTGCGGGACAATTTTAGGACCATGACTAGCTTGTACAGTTCCATGAACCCGGCGGCCGACTCAGTCAACCTGAGCACCAAGACTCACGGTGCCGTATTCAACCTGGAGTACTCCCCAGACGGGTAAGGCCTTCAACTCGGTTGAGACCGAATACGGAGGCACAAAATGTTTCATTTCACACACGAGAGTTGCCCTTTTAACCGTTGTTTGAAGCCCCGTTCTTGTTATTTAAAGCTGGGTTTGAAACCCAAATGTTGTCTTGCAAACCTAATCCTAAACAATCGTCCTGGTCGAAATCCCCCTTTGAAAACCAAACGCAGGCTTGAAACCCTAATTTACCGTGGTGTGAAGCCTTAACCCTATCCCCGGCTTGAAACCCTATTTTGAAAGCAAAACCCCGGCTTGAAACCCACATTTCTGGCTTGAAACCCTGATCTTGGTGTTCAATGCCTATTTGTCACCGAAACCCAGGAATGAAAATGTAAATCCAAAATCAGACTTGAACCCGACTTTTGCTTGACACCCTGATCTGAAAAACTCATTTTTGCTTGAGATCCTCTTTGATGCCCAAATTTAACCCTGGTTTGGATCCCTAATTTGAAACCCATACCAAGTCTTGATGCCTTAAAACTTGTAAAATGTGTCAAACCTGTCGAAGTGCAATATCAAATAATTTTAGACATCAAGAGTGTAATTTGCTTTATTTCATGCCGAGTTATTTATCTGTTGACACATTTAGTCGTACGATCACGTTTGTAGGCGTGTAAGCGATTAGAGTGGGTCAGTTGGTCAGCGTGGATTAGTAGCTGGGTCAAAGCGACGAGACGGCTCACTAAAGCGGGTCAAGCTGAAGCAGGAGGCCGGATCACGTTCGCGTTCCCGCTCGCTCCTCCAGTAACGGCGCGCTACGCCCGTAACTTCCAACCCAAACCCAGTTTGAAACCCCAGTCCGAAGCTTGTAACTCCAGTTTGAAACGCTAACTGTGGCTTTTTATTGCTGATTTCAAAATCCAGCCCTGGTTTGAGATTTTAACCCAAAGCCGGGCTTGAAACCCTAACCCGAAAATACATTCTAAACATTCATATTCACGATGAGCTTATGATGATGCGTGATCTTCAGGTCTGTTCTGACGGTGGCCTGCGAGCAGACCGAGGTCCTCCTCTTTGATCCCATATCATCCCGACACATCAAAACTTTGACGGAGGCCCACGAGGACTGTGTCAACAACATCAGGTGACTTTTGTATTCTTTCCGTTTACCTGTCAAAAAGTGAGCCTCAATCTCGCCAGAGTTCTAAATATCCACAACATTCGCTGTGGAAATGGTGGCCATGCCGTCACCGTGGGCAGGTTCCTGGACAACCGATTGTTCGCCACCTGTTCGGACGACACCACCATCGCGCTCTGGGATCTGCGCAAGCTGAACTCCAAGGTGTGCTCGCTGCACGGCCACGCCAGCTGGGTGAAGAACATCGAGTATGACACTAACACGCGCCTGCTGGTCACCTCGGGCTTCGACGGCAACGTCATCACGTGGGACACCAACAGGTTACCTGACTTTGACTTGAAAACAATCATCGTGATTTTTATCGCACCTCTTAATAGCGTCCTTGCCGTACCGAAAGAATGACTTTGGCGACAAAGCGCAACTTTAGTTTCGATGAAGCTCTTCGACGCACACCAACCTAGTTCGGAGGCACCAAGATGCCACAGGATGGCGACAAAGCAATACTTTGATCGCTTTCGCCTTTACCGCACACAGATTGAGGATTTCTCAATTTACTCACTCAGTGTGAAATATTTCACCGGAATGAATGGCACGCCGATAAAATCCAAAGTGCATGCGCAGATGAAATGGACCTTCTGCCATCGAGCGGGAAAGCTTTTCCTTGTTCTGCCTGTCACTCGATGTTGCCTTCATTTGGTAATCACTGATCGAAGCGTTGACGTTTCCTCGCACGGTTCCCGAAATGTGCCGTGCAGATTCACGGAGGACGGCTGCCCGCACAAGAAGTTCTTCCACACGCGCTACCTGATGCGCATGCGCCTGACGCCCGACTGCTCCAAGATGCTGATCTCCACGTCGTCGGGCTACCTGCTGATCCTGCACGACCTGGACCTCACGCAGTCGCTGGAGGTGGGCAGCTACCGCATGTTGCGAGCCCGGCGGACCCCGCTGACTTCAGGTTGGCGCCGCGAGCCTTCAGTCCCTTCGGCTGCTACGCCCTCTTGGGCGCCGCTTTGCTCACGTGTTTTTTTTGACGCCCAACGCTTATTAGATGGAGGCGCGCTGGCGTCCCGCTCGGCTGGACCTCGCCACGGAAACGACTCGGGAAAGTTGCACCCTCACAGAGAAGGTGAGAGACAATTTTCCACTGGGCTTGATGAACGAAAAGAAAATACAACGAAAAAGATGGTGCGACCGGATGCCATTTTGTTTGCTTTTCTGTCCAGGTAAATAACAATTTGACGCCTTGTTGTCACCGAGTGGCGGGAATCGATGTTGTAACTGAGCATCTCCAGCTCTTTTATATTTGTTTGGTCAAATCCGCCTCTCCGTGGCCCAGCAGGTGTATAATTGAAATAATTTTGCCGCCCACTAGATGGCGCCCCAAGCCACGGCCCTGATGGTGAAGAATCACTGTCATCACCGAATGATTGTTTCACCTCGAATAATTTGATGATCTATCAATGTATTTTACTTACCGCATCAATGTTTATGAAGACATTTTTTAAATTTGACTCTATAAAAATACAATACTGTAACATATTGGAAAATGTATTTTAAATATTAATGTCTGACAGGATGTGTAATCTTTCAGTGTTATGATGGTTTGAACACGTTCTGCTCATTTCATTGATAATGTGTGACAAATATTTCAACATGAACACAACAAATATTTCATAGCCCAAAATAAATATAATTCAAATATAATTTAGTGTTTTGGCCTTTCGAATGAAACGTACGCTCAATATTAAGACATCCTAAATAGTAGAAGTGCAAACATAATCAGAACTATGCGTGATGGAATATGATTCATATTGCCTTTAAATTCGAGAAATGACTGAGTCCTGCTGGCTAAAAATGTCACTTTGGATAGCCTGCGGCATTTGGGTTCCACGGATCAACAGCCGATCGCTGAAGCCACATCCTCTTCTTGCAGGCCTTTCTCCCAGGAACAGCCTGGAGGTTCTGACCCCGGAGATCCCGGGCGAGCGGGACCGAGGGAGCTGCATCACGTCCTTGCAGCTGCACCCCAAAGGCTGGGCCACGCTCATACGATGCTCCAGCAACATGGACGACCGTGAGGTGAGCCGCCTCGCCCCGACCGAGCGTCAAGTTCACGTAGCGTTATCTGGCCTCCATCTTTGCTCGATCTTAGCTTTTTAAACCCCGCCTCCGTCTTCGTTTTTAACCGTCCCCGCAGTGGACGTGCGTGTACGAGTTCCAGGAGGGCGCGCCCACCCGTCCGCTGGTGTCCCCGCGCTGCTCCCTGCGCCTGACGCACTACATCGAGGAGGCCAACGTGGGCCGAGGCTACATCAAGGAGCTGTGCTTCAGCCCGGACGGCCGCCTCATCTGCTCGCCGTACGGCTACGGCGTGCGTCTGCTGGCCTTCGACGAAAGCTGCGGCGAGCTGGCCGACTGCGTGCCCGTGCAGACGGGCTGCCTGCGCGAGGTGCGCGCCATCTACTCGCACAGCGACGTGGTGCTCACCACCAAGTTCTCGCCCACGCACTGCCAGCTGGCCTCGGGCTGCCTCAGCGGCCGGGTGGCGCTCTACCAGCCCAAGTTCTAGCGGAACACTCGCCCGCCCCAGGTACGCCCGCGTCTTCTATGCACAGACCCGCACGCCCGCCAGGGACGTTTGAGTCCATACCGACCCCCCGCGCGGGCGTGAAACGCTTCGTTCCGCCTTAAATTGCAGATTTAAGGCGGATCTTTTGGGCCAGCGCAGCGGTCGGGTGGCTCGCGTGTCCGCCTCCCAGTTTGAAGGGTGGGGATTGGAATCTGTGCCGCGACCTTTCCTTCTGGACTGTTCCCGTGGGGCTGTCGCCATGCTCGCGTGCGTTTTCTCCGGCCTCCTCCCGCATTTCCGAAAGCCTGCGTGTCAGCTTCGTTGGACTTTCTAAATTGTCCGTAGGTGTGAATGTGAGTGTGACAGTTTTGTTTGTCTACACGTGTCCTGCGATTGGCAGGTTGCCCCGCGGCGGAAGGGAAAAAAAAAGTTTTTTCCTCAAGAAACACAAATTCATTCTTGGAATGCGGCAATGTTTTGTTTTGGGGGTTTCTTTCCTCTCGACAAGCAACAACTTACATCTTCTGACTTTAGTGATCACAATTCGACTTTTTTTCTGACCAAAAATACGACTTAAAAAAAAAATTGCAACTTTATTGGAAGTGGAGAAACATGAGTTTCAGCTTCCAATGTGATGGCATTTTTTTTTCTCGAGGTTTTAATCTCTAAATTTTCTTGAAAACCACATCTGTTTTCTAGAAAAAAATGTAACTTTCTTTTACATGCAGAAAGCATTCCATATTTTCTCAACAAAACTGCGAATATTCCAGCTTTCTTGGAAAAATGAGTTACAAAAAAAAAAAGCACTGTTCCCTCAAACAGTGCGGAAAACACAACTTCAACCATGAAAAATTTACCTTTTAACCTGCCGGAAGATGACAAAAAATATCAAAATTTTGCAAAATGATGACTTTTTTAGGAAAAACAATGTAAAAAAAAAAAAAAGTTCCAAAGATTTGAATGTATTCTTGCAACGTTGCAGCAAATTTTCTGAATAGATGACGATATAATCTTTGAATTTTATGAAAAAAAAACTAAAATGAGAAAACACAAATTTTTGTCATGTGATATTTAGACCTTTTTTTTTTTTTTGCCAAAGAAGTCAAATATTCCAACTGTCGCGAGACAATAAAACTTTTTTTTTTCCTATCTTGTTATTTTTTTTGTTTGTTTTTCCCAAAAGCCATCTCGGGCGAAGTGAGGAGAACTCAAAAACGTGTTCTCGTGTGGATAAGAGTGCAAACGCTTTGGCGAGATGGCCGTCGATCCCGATCGCCTGGTGCTGCTTCGTTCTTCGCGCAATTATCTTCTTCCTCTGCCGTCGCCGCTTTTGGCTCATGTTTCTGCTTCGTGGCCTTTCAGCGTTTTTCTGCGTTTGGAGCTCCTCGTAGCACGCCACCTGCGATGCCGTTGAGGTGGCTTTTTTTTTTTTCCCCCTACCTGCTCTTTTGGTTCTCATTTCCTGTTCAAATGTGGAAGCTCACCTTACAGTGGAAAACAGTCCAGAGTTGTTTTCCCATTCGGTCATTTTGACACCTTTTCTCATTGTAAAAATCCGTAACTAACAAGGACACCCAAAGAAATGTCTCATCCATTAGTTTTTTTTTCTTTTTTTTTTGGCGGGGGTCACCTGAACTAATAATAATAGAAATAACAGTGCAAGAAAAAAAAAAAAAAAAAAACGCAAGCCAAGTGTGAAGTACTATGCATACCAGCTGTAGTTGGTTATCAATAAGGGCTGTTGGGACCACACTGGAATGGGAAAAAAAATTCTATATTAGGGACAATGAAGTCAGAATTGTCCAGCTTTTTATGTATCCTCCGAATGTTCCGAGTTTGGTTTTTTTTTCCCCCCCCTTGGCAAAGTGAAACCTAATCTCGTTATTATTTATTTTCTAAAAAAGGTGAATCGTGTACTCTGGAAAGCACATCTTCAATCATGCCATTTTGACTTTTTTTTTTTTTTTTTAACAATTCTGTGTGGGAAAATTCTCAAACCATTCTTTTCCACCCATCACAACTTTAATTCAAATGTATCTTCTCAGAAAACCTATTTTCTTAAGAACAAACGTATATTCACACTTTCTCCCCCAAAATCCCTTTTTATTTTATTTAGGGTGGTTTTTTTTTTGTAATTTTGCCATTAAAAAAACATTTTATTTCAGCAAAAATGCAACTTTTTCGGAGGAACATTGCAAACCCAACTCGTCTCATTTTATGGCAGGTTTTTTTTTTCCTTGGCAACCAGATTTAATCTCATGAATGACTTTTTCTAGAAAATGTCCATCTGATGCATTTTTATTATTTTACGACTATTGTTACATTGTCACATTTTATCTTGACGTACACTAACTACAACTTTTTATTCTATTTAAAAACTCTGGAAAAACTAATCTCATAATATTCCAACCTTCCAGAAAAAGGTTTTACAACGACTGTCGTAATATTGCAACTTTTTTGTGACACCTAACAATTTAAATACTCGTAATATAACAGCCTTGAGGGAAAACTAGACTTCTTCTTGAAAATATCTTGTGGCTATTCTTGTAATTTGCGCATTTTATTCCCTTGACAAATGGCAACTGTCATACTCCAACTTTATATTTAAAAAAAAAATCGCTGAAAGGGACAATTCTTTTTTTTTTCTTGTCAGAAAAATGCTTTTTTCTTGTAAGATTGCAAATTTATTTGCCCTCTAATCTTTTTTTTCCTCTTCTCAGTATGGCCCTAATAATTATTACCTCTATTATAGTTTATTCTTGCGCTTTTTTTCTGTTGGCAAAAGGACATTTTAAAGTCATTTCAAAACTGATATTCAAGGTTGGGCTGGAAGACTGCGCATGTAAATGCATTTATTGAATTAATTTATTTCATCATCGTTCAGACTTTGTTCTTCTCCGGAGCTATTGGTGTGTGTGTGTGTGTGTGTGTGTGTGTGTGTGTGTGTGTGTGTGTGTGTGTGTGTGAGACAGAGAGAGAGAAACTCGTCTTTCAGGTTTTTCCCTAAGTACTCACAGAAGAATCCAGAACTAAAACGAATATTAAGGTCACTCAGTTTGCTCTAATTTTAAGAATGAAATTAGCGCAAAATATGTATTGAATTGCATTTTCATCTCATTTACGTTGCTCCTTTGCGCGCACCTGCACGTTTGTGTTCAAGTACACGCGGCGCCAAGTTGTATTCATGCATCGAATCATCAAGAGCTATGAAACATGGGGGGAAAAAAGGTACTTTGTCTTGCAAAAATAAAAAATTGCATTGTTTTGCAATGTGTTGTTCTACCTCCTTGCCACTAGACGGCAGCATAACATACAAGGTCTACTTTTGTCCAAAAAAATTAACCCATGCCAGCCAAATACAGTAGAAGGAACTTTTATTCAAACTATTATTTGAGACAGTGTGGTCCTTTTGGACTTGAGTCAAAGTCAAATCGCTCGACATCAGACCAGCTGACACTTGAAAGGGTGCTTTCATGGCATCATGCCATTTGTCATCCTTCAACAGTCGTTGAATAAAATTGCCGCGACTTCACCGGCTGCGTATTCACTTATTCACTCATTTGTCACAGTTCAAAAGGACAGTTAGGGGCGCCACACAAAATTGTACTCAGAATAAATGTGTTGATTATGGAAAATAAAATTGTGCTTGTCGCTGAGGATAAAAATGTCATTTACGAGAAGGTTTTTTCTCTTGGTAATAGCAGGAAAAAAAGTTACCCCCCCCCCCGGCAAAAAAAAACAAAATTGTAAGTATTGTGATTTAGAGGGGACATTTTCATGTGTTGAATGCCCTATTTTTTTAAACTTAAAAAGTCTCAAAAATAGTAATGTTTAAAAATGGCAAGTCTTTTTTTTAATGTTGAAATATTTTTTTTTCTCCAAATGTATGAATACAACACATTTTTCGAAAAATGAAAAGTGTTGCTGGCACAAAAATAAAGTAATTTCTTTTTTTTTTAACTAATAGTAATTCATTGCAGAATAACAATTCTGATGTTTGCTATTTTTTGGGAAAAGAAGTGATATATTTTCAAGAAATGTGGTACAGTCGAGCCCTGCGTCCTCACAATTTGGTGCCTGTGGACTCGCTGATCTCCTATTTTTTTTTTGTTGGGTGTTTTTTGGGGGGCCGGGGTCTTTCCTTTTCCTCTGTTTGATCACGTGACTTTGCACCGCCAACGTGAGAGCAGTCGACAGTAGGGGGCGATATTGCTCGACTTTGTGGCTCCCTCGAATGGAAAAATGGATGAATAAATCAGTTTCATTTCACTATTTCTCCACCGTGACATGACTCACAATATTTTGTTTCGACTCGTCCCGGTACATAAAACGTAATATTGCACAAAAAAATATTTTGGCTCTAGTCTCACTTACAGGTATGAAATACAAACGGGAAGCGCAAATACTGATGTGGCCCCGATGCTCCTTTTCCAAAAGTGATTTTACTACTGGACAGCACCATCAAGTGAAATCCACTCCAAGCGTCCTTTTGGATTGGCAGGTGTACCTAATGACGTGTCCGACAGTGAGGCGACGCCACCGTGCGTGTCGCTGCTCGTTTTTCAATACCGAAATCCTCATAACCGCAAGGAGGTGGATCGCGCCTTGCGGGCCTGCTCTCGTTGCATCCTGCGGCCCTCTCGCCGTTGGTTGATGGCCTTGGTGCTGGCGCGAAGCTTGCGCAGACGAAGGGCCCGCAGGCGCAGCTGCAGGTCCTGCGGGATCTTGCCGCCCTTGGCGCGGATCTCCTTCAGGCGTTGCACGGGCGTCTGCATCAGAGTGAAGTCGCAGACGGTGGCGCGGGGCTCCATGCCCACGTGGCAGTGCCGCACAGCCGGAAGATAGCCCTCGGCCCACGCCACCACTTTGTAGTCGCCCGGGTTCAGCAGGCGCCAGTAGTCTCCGTCGGCGGCTGCGGGATGGCGGGAACGGACGCCAAAAGTGAGCGCGAGGTTGCCGGCGAAGGGGGTGCCGTCCCGTTTTGCCGCCTTACCTGTTCGGATGTCGTGCCCGTGGTCCTCCACCTTGATCACGGCGTCCTCGATTCCTTTCTTGCTCTCCTTGTCCCGCACCACCCCTTTCAGGCCTCGATGAACCTGACAACGCAACATTCGAGGGAGAAAGAAAACATGTTTACGTGGGTAGAAGCTTGTCAAAATGCTCAAGGCAACATTAGGAAACCATCCAAGAGATTAAAAACGAGCACAATTTGCCCCGCAGGAAAAACATCTAATATTACCAAATGAAAGTTTTACTTTTTTTTTTTTTTTGAAAGATGTAATTCAATTTTTTTTGCTCCGGGGAAAGGTTTGAGGATAAGCGACCTGCTCCATGAAGAGGAGGAGAGACTCTTTGTTGTTCTCCCACTCGATGGGAAGCTCGCTGGCGTGAGGAAACTTGTCGCAGGAAAGCTCCACCGTCACCTCGAAGCAATTGGTGTGCAGGTAGCTGAAGTCATTCATGCCTGAGAAGGACATCACAATGACTAGCTGGTATTGATTCAAACTGTCAAAAAAAAAAAAAAAAGAGCCAAAATGTCTGCTATGCACCAAAATGGCTGACTTGAGAGATTGTTTAGGTCAACTACTCACAATAGTCTCATGTTGCTCAAGGAGCCAGTCTCGGCTTCAGTGCCGAATCTCTTTGAAATTCATAGAGAGTGCTACCTAGCTAAAATATCCACTCCGCATCATAAAACGGCGGAATTTCTGTGCCTTTTCAGACATAGCTTTTTAGCCTTTTTTGCTGGTCTACTCCTGATGTTCGCCTACCAGATTTCATGTTGCGAAGTGAAACTAGCTTCAGGGGCATTTTATAAACGTTCTTGAGAGTTTCTGAGCCAAAATGGCCAGTCCGAACCAAAATGGCTGACTTCCTGTGCCCTTTCAGACATGGCTTCTGGAGACTTTTTGGAGGCCTTTTCACGTTATACCAGCCTACCAGATCTCATGCTGTAAATGGGTACCTGGCTTCAGGGGCTGATTTATTATTATTATTATTTTTTTTTTTCACACTTTCAGCAGTGCTACCAAGCCAGAATGGCTTCAAACCAAAATGGCTGACTTTCTGAGTCTTTTGATACATGGCTTCTTGAGACTTTTTTGTAGGCCTGCTCATAATAGACTCGCATTGCAAAAATTTTCTGTTAAACTGGCTTCAAGGGCTGAATTTTTTTTTTTCTTTTCACATTCTCTAGGGTGCTAGCAAAATGGCCATTCCATAGCAAAATGTCTAACTTCTGTGTAGATTGTGAGATGGCTTCTTGAGAATTTTTATGGAGGTGTACTCATGATAGACATGCCTACCAAATTCCATGTCGCCAAGTGAAACTAGCACCATGGGCAGGGCTGAATTAGAATAAATTGCAGTGTGCCACCAAGAACAAATGGCTGACTTCCTGTCTCTTTTCAGACATGTCCTCTCACAACTTTTTTTGCAGGTCTGCTCATGATAGACCCGCTCACCAAGTGCTCAGGAAAAGTGTGTGGCGACTCACTTCCGGGCACGTGGTGCCAGGCTCCGCCGTTGATGATGTTGTTGTACACCTGGAAGTCGTCAGTGTGGCACAGGCGGCGCTCGGGGTTCGCCATGGCCAGGTTGGTGGAGGCGTAGACGGTGGCCAGCCAGCGGAAGAAGGAATTGTCCGGGGTGGGCGTGTTGGCCTGCGGAGCCCAGCCCTCCGTGCCGTCGTACGGGTACGTCACCACCAGCTCGCCCCCGTGCAGGTTGGCGCCCAGCACGAACGGGATGTCTTCCATCCAGCTGATCACGGCGCGCGTCTCCGCGGCCACCTGACACACCCGAGAACCGATCGCGATGAAATTGCTGGATGTTTTCTTCCTCTGCATGCGATTCAGCCATTTTTTTTTTCCTTTTTGCGTCCTTCTACAAGAATCTATTTTGGTGTTTTTTGGTCCCATATTCCAGGATAAGTTTTCTCGTGCCAATGATGATGCATCCTGATGTTTTTGGTCCCTCACTGAAAATAGTTTTTGGTGGTTTTGATTTTGTTCCGTTGTCCGGGTGGCATTTTCCTGAGCAATGTGAGGTGTGAGCAGCAGGTTTTGCTCTCCCTCAATAAAATCCATATAGGCTCTAGTTTTTCGTCCCTTGCTGGGCATTCAGTTTTTGATTCCCAACACCTATGATACTTCCTGATGTGATGGATGTAGTTGTTTTTGCGTGCGTGTGTTCTTACCATGGCGTCCTCTTTGGTGTAGTATTCCGGAATCGGAATGTAGTGGTTGGGTACTTTAGACGGGTCCTCGGCTATCTCCTGAGCATCCCACAGGATGGTGTTTAGATCCGGGAAGTTGTGATTCAGGTCGATCCCTTCATAGGTGTACCGTCCCTCGCCCCATCCGGCCAGCTCGGAGCCCTGAGGAACGCCGGGAGTTTTAAATCCACGTCAGTTTTCACGCAGCGACCGGTCAGGACGACGTACCTTGTTGTAAGCTATTTCGTAGCCGTCCGGGTTCATGGAGGGAAGGAGGTGAATGCGAGTCTCGGTAATGAGCCGGACCACGCGCCGGTTGCCCCTCTTGTACTCGCGGCACAGATACTGCATCAGGTTGAGAACCAGCTCGCGACCCAGGACCTCGTTTCCGTGCATGTTGGCCACGTAGCGGAACTCCGGCTCGCCTGATCAAAATGAGTCATTCAGTACCAATTGAAGTGTCCTGTACGTTTCAATGTACTTACTTCTTCTCCGACATGGATCTTTGACGTCCATAGCCGTCATTGGGAGGGAAGGAGTTAAAATGGCGCTCCTCACCCAGTTCGTGCTTCCCGGGATGATCCGACATCTCCATCACGTAGAGCTTGAGGCCCATGTAGCTTTTCCCGATGGTGTAGATGCGCGTGATGTCGGGACACTCCTCCGCCACCGACTTCATCAGCTTTCCGGAGAGAAGGAGAGCGAGTGAGGTTCGACGTTTTCCAAGCGTGAAATCCGAGCAACTGGTTGTGAACGTTCACCTTTCTCATCTCCTGGTAGTTGTGGTGTCGGAAATCCAGATTATCCTTTGACCTGCCCTCCTGTGCTGAGGAAATGCTCTCCTGCGGCTCTGCAAGCGGGAACGACACGGGGTTTGTTTGAGACGCACCAGGACTTGTTTGCGTGCATTCACACCCGCATAAAAGTCCCGGACCGTCGTGGGAAACGACCCCTGGTGCCTTTCAAGTGGAACAAACAGGACAGGTGTGAATACACCCTAAAATGCGTCCTAGGATGGAGACCGAAAACAACCCTTTGGTCTTCCTCTTGTGCTGCAAGGGAGGGAGACTAAAAAACATGATCTTTGGAAGAGATCACAAGAGCCAAGCAGCCAAGATCAAAAAATGTTTTTTGTTTTGTTTTGGTGCGTGCGTGCGCAAGTACCGTCAAGGCGACATCCGAGTATCTCGGCTCGTAGGCAGATGTCTCCATCGGGGTACCAACTCTGCGGGTTGATGCGGATGTAACGCGCAACCACGGGCACGGGGAGCAAGGCCAGCACCGGACTCTCGCCGTCGCCGTTGCCTTCGAAGATCTGCATGGAGTGGGACGCCACACGTTTGCATAAATCCGTGCGGTGGGATGAGAGGGGGCGGGGAAGGGAGGGG